AAGAAGAACAAGAACAACAAGAACAAGAACAACAAGAATAAGAACAAGAACAACAAGAAGAACAAGAACACGAAGAACAACAAGAACAACAAGAACAACAAGAACACGAGGAACAAGAAGAAGAAGAAGAACAAGAACAAGAACAACAAGAAGAACAAGAACAGGAACACGAAGAACAACAAGAACAAGAACAACAAGAATAAGAACAAGAACAACAAGAAGAACAAGAACACGAAGAACAACAAGAACAAGAACAACAAGAATAAGAACAAGAACAACAAGAACAAGAACAACAAGTACAAGAAGAAGAAGAACAACAAGAACAAGAACAAGAAAAAGAGCAACAACAACAAGAAGAACAAGAACAAGAAGTATCAGCTTGAGTAAATGGCCGGCTGAACAAGGTTAGTAGAGATAACGAAAATACAAAATTTATATATATATATATATATATATATAAGTCGATCTTTTTTACTTTCATCTCGAATCTGCATTACAATACTCCAGAAACTTTCATCAGTAGGCAAAATATTGAGAAATAGCAAGCACCAATATGTATCTGACTCCTCCTGCTATGGTCTTTCTTTAGAACAACCAGATCAAACCAAAAAGAAAACACATCACGGCTGGAGATGCACAATCCTCATTTTCAACCTTGCTCAAAAGCATCTCCGCAGCCTCGTGAATGATTAATTATTATTATTACTCTACAACACCTTTCCCAAAGACGAAATATTACACTATTTCTATGACAAGTGTTCAGATGAGTTACATTCCTTAATTCTACCAGTTCAGACTTTTATAGCTAAGACCTCTATAGCCCGTACGCAAGATCAAATGAGTATAAAGATGGACGTGAAGATTGTTTTTCGTCAGTCTTCCTAGTAGGGATGTCCTGTCTCCCTTGAATATCGGCCAGAGAAATTTTATCTTTTGCCTAGATTCAGATATCAACACCAATGGGAACTACATAACTGTTTAATAAAAGAAGCTGGCCGTTTTTTTAAGTTGCTCATAGGTTTAATAGGTGTGATTCACTACAATATTACAAATTTTAAGTATCTAAGAATTAATCTAACTTAAAATAAGAGTTGTGTATCAGACAACCATTAAATCTCCCACGAAGGATATCTATATATTTCAATATTTTCCCTGTTCACTTTATGAGAAACTTGTCCTTAAATTTAATCTTTATAAATCTTTAATGTATGAAATTTGTTTTCCTAATTTAATTTATCTGCCAGATGAGCCTCAATTTAAAAATAAAACCTCAGAATCCATAATAGTTTGGGAACTATAGAAATAATTTTATCGATAGAAACAAAGTCGAATAGGGAAGGAAGCATCAAAATAAAGAAATTAATGTCTGTCAGTTTCGAGAGAAAAGACGATGCTTTCAACCATGTTAGGTACCTTCACTAATTCGGCATAAATTTACGATACTAAGATTTAAAATTAATTTAAAAAAATGAAAATTATTGTTGAAGATTTAATTTTAGCTTTAATTGAAAGATAAATGATTAATTTACTATTTCCAGTAATTAAAATATTCTGGTGTATTTCAAGTAAAAATTATACAGGTCGAAATCTCAACTTTTTGGCCGATTTAAGAAAATTTTCTTAATTTTTTTAATTTGAAGAAATTTGTAAACAAAACAAATTTATCGGTTTTAAAAATCCTCCAAAAGTAAAATATATAGTTGTGACACGTTATTTGAGTAAAATTATCAAATTTAAAGTTCAATTAATCTGATTTGAAATAAATATTACTTATAGCATAAAAAAGTAATATAGAAGATTTGTTAACACCGGTTTTCTTTAATCTTTATTGACGTAGAGATAAGTGATGACAGCGAGTATGGATGACCAGAATTGACATAAATTTACGAAATCTAAGGGAACATATTTTTTTCGTTTTTAACTCCTTAGTAATTTTTAAAAATTAACATATTTTCAGCAATTATCTAATATTTTATAGACTTTTAGTTATGTCTGAAGATGATTTATGAAAAATTAAAAAATTAAAGTAGTATAAAATTTTCTTGAAATTAATTTTAAAACTTATTAACAGATGAATTTAAAATAAAGATATGTAAGCAACAAAATTAATTTTAAAACTTATTAACAGATGAATTTAAAATAAAGATATGTAAGCAACAAAATTAATTTTAAAATTTATTAACTAATTAATTTAAAATAAAGATATGTAAGCAACAAAATTAATTTTAAAACTTATTAACAGATGAATTTAAAATAAAGATATGTAAGCAATAAAATTAACACATTGATATGGAACTTTTTTATAATAATTAAAATATTGTTAAATCATTAATAGTTAATAAATATTAATTAACATTACCTAAAAAACATTTTTCTATTCATTTCAATCCAAGCAATTGACCTTTTTATAATAATGACATGTTTAGGCTATCTTAGATGAAAAAAGGAGAACAATTAAAGAAAAAAATAAAAACATTCTTTTAAAAATAGAGTAGTAAAACGATATTTATTAATTTTTTTAATTTTGATTCGTAAATTTCGTTTCCACTTAATTACAATATCACATCCTGGAAATAGCCCAATACAGAATTTCAAACGATTTTTAAACTATTATAAATTATTGCAATTAAAATTTAAAAAAATGAAAAAATTCTTGTAAAAATTCATTATTCATCAAAAAAGTTTTATTTCTTCAGACAATAGTGTACTTAATATAATTTATTTACAAAAGCAATTAAAAGCTTTTCTAATTAAATAATGTCATAGTTTGGTTACATTTTTTAGTTTACTATTCGGATAAGATTTTCAGTTAGAATAGTAAAAGTTTGAAAGAAAAATTGGATGACACATTCTCCAAGGAGTTCTACTTTAATTAATAAAAAATTCAGGAAATAGTAAGGTATTTCGGTATGAGTAACATATGTAAAAAAGAAAAATGATATTTTTTACCAAAATTTTGTAAAGCAAAAAATTTTAAAAATTATTTAATTTTTTTGTGATTGAGTCCTGAAAGTTTCACTAAAATCCGACAATTATTTGATTTTTGCAAGCATTTCCAAATTAATGTGTTTTCGTCGGAAAAAAGCGACAAAAAATATTTTGTAATTATTACCTGAGTCCGATGACCTAAACAAAACAATATTTTAAATCAAAATTTTGAACGTGCTATAAAGGATTAAAAAATTTCAAAAAATAATCAAAAAATACTTTGGTTTTTCATCTTAATAATAATATAAACATTTTGACGATAAAACTTTGTTTTTATTAGGTTTGTGGCTTTTTTTTATTATGCTATGCTGTTTTTACGCGAAAAAGTGAAGGTACCTAGTTTAAGTAATTGCTGTTCGTCCACTGTAGTCTCTGTCAAACAATCACAATGAAAATGAACTCTTTTCATTAAAGCTTTCATCTTGCCGTGATGACATGCGGGGCTCGCTGCAACTGTTGCTTGGAAACTGTGTAATCGATTATACCACGCATGCGCGGTTGATTATCGATATTTGCATTATTAATGGATCCCATTCAAGCAGAAAAAAAAGAAAATTAAAAATGAAATAGACAGGCAAAAGAGAAAGAATGCTTAATCACATAAACTTTCCAATATGAAGAGCAAAATAACTACAAAAAACGAAAGAATAGAGACAGAATGAAACTATAAAGTGAACAGGAATGTCAAAAGAGAAAGAATGGTTAAGTACGTGTTAGTTAAAAGAGAAAGAAAGAAAAATGGAAGCCGGATGAAACCCTAGAAGGAAAAAGAGAAAAGAAAAATGGACGGAATAATTAATCATATGAACACACAAGAAAGAAAGAACGAAAGAAAGAATATGCATAAAATTGGACCAAAGAAAAATACGAGTATAATGAGACGAAAGAAAAAGAACGAAAGAATATGCATAAAATGAGGTCAGAGAAAGATAGAAGAAAGCATATGCGTAAAATGAGATCAAAGAAAACGAAAGAATATAAATAAAAATAAAAGACCAAAGAAAAGGAAAAAAAGGAACAAAAAACGAACGAATATGCGTAAAAAGTGACCAGAGAAAGAAAGGATATGCGTAAAAGGATACCAAAGAAAAAAAAAAAGAAAGAAGAAAGAAAGAACGAATATGCGCAAAATGAAATCAAAGAAAAAAGAAAGAAAGAAAAAAGAAAGAAAGAAAAGGAATAAAGCTTATGCTGAAAAATAATAAAGAAAATTAAAATGAAGAATCATTTATCCTATATTTATTGATATATATTTATTGGTACCCATCAGCCTATTATTTTTTTTATTCGAGTGTCTAGTTAAATGAATGAAAACTCCCAGACTTATATTAAGTACATTAATTTCTAACAAAAAGAAAATGTCCGATTTAGAATCAATTCAAAGTTTTCGTATCGATGAAGCCTATGCCTTTAATTAAAGGTACAAGCTTACAAGCTTATGCCTTTAATTAACAATACAAAGTGTTTGTTATATCTAGGGGGGATCCTTGCCCTCTTATCGAAAAGCAGTCTACAGTCATAAAAAAACCCTAACATATTTTGTATAAAACCAATTCGATCGAAGTTTAGTGAATGCAGTTAATATTGCTGAAGTAATAATGAAAAGATGAAAGCAACATTTTGGTATTTATCACAGAAATGTCTATTTTTGTATAAGTATGTACATCATATTATAAGGGTCATCAGCGAAAAAGTGACGTACCGTGTTCAAATTTTGGCCGGGTTTGTTGCTTTACTTTCGCACAAATATTCTTGGGTAATGTATAATAAGATATGGGTTAAATAACCATTCTAGGAGAAAGACAGCTCAAAAATTCAAAACCAGTTGGACTTGAGGCTGGCAATTCCACTCCATAAAAATCTATTTGCTACAGAAGTAACACCTAACTTAGTACTGTAGTCTTATGCTGAAGTACAAGTAAGTTTTGTTGAACTTATATTAAAAAAATGCTTCTATTTGAGACTAAACTATTGGTCGTGATCATTACAACGTTTTTGTGCATATTGCTATTTATAAATCGTAATATTTAATGCGATATTTTAAGTAGCTGATTGATAAGAAAAGACGGCAAATTTTTGCGCTACTTACTATTAAATATTTTTTCTTTTTACGAATCTTTTAATAATGATCATATTCAATCAGAGAAGCATATTCCGGAAGTACAGAACAGCTGCCTGCAAATTGGAATGATAAAAACACTATGTCTTTGTAATGGAAACAAGCGTAGACGTTTACTTACGCCCGCACACAGAACATCAAACCCCGTGAGAAATGTTTGAAGATTCGGTCGGTTTCTTGAGACGCGGATTAATACGTGACTGACATTAACTAACAGTCTTCTAATTTCACATCCACGATTGTGTGATAAGGTGTGTTCATTGTCTTGTGCTAGATAATATTTCTCGCCAGAACCTTTCACATTTATAAATCGTCCGTGTATTGAACATTGCTACTGCATCTGCTCTAGTAGCCCTGCTATACATCACGCGATTTTTAACAAAATCCAAAGAAAAATCTGTAACGTCATCGGTCTTGACCTGGCATCTCGGTTTCAGTCACCTCCATAAAGTATCTATCCTGTGACTTTTCTATAAATGTTGTATAGCATGTTTAGCATTAGTGTACTTCCGCTTACCTTAGATAAAGAACAAATTTCATTTCTTTTGAAGTAGCGACCTACGACGATAATGGAGCAAGAATTATAAAGTGTTTAATGAACATGTCTTTGCCTCGTTGTAGAATGTAAAATCATCATTTAAGCGATCCCTTTCTGGCTCTCTTTAACATGGCTGATGCTAACTTCCAGGATTGTGACTCGTTGTGCCTTTTCGGACTAACATTCCCCGCTGACATGAAATAAAAAGATGAAAATTGAATGATTCCTGAAGTTGTGTTGTACCTCTCACGGATCAACATCACATTGTTATAAAACCGCAGATTTTATGACTTATTATCTTTATTAGTCTGTGTCAGTCATTGCAGCTGTATCAATTGAGCATCCATAGCAACCAAGGTAAAATAGAATTTTCAAAAGCAATAGCTCGTCCTGCTTTTAACTACGACCTTTTAAAACAGCCATTAAGCGTAAAACCGAAGGAGATGAATTGTTCATCTTAAAAAGAATCACGGAGAACCATTCATGTGTGCATGCAAACATAAGAATAGAATACATACAAACACGCACATACACATTTATATGCCTTCAAACATATAAAGGAACATGCACATACATATATGCGTAAAACATATACATAAGAAAAAATACACACGCACAAACAGATATATATATATTTATATATTTATATATATATATATATATATATATATATATATATAAATGTAATATATATATATATATATATATATATATATTACAATGAGTCATATATGGACAATGTGTCTATATATATTGTTGAAACTTGACTAATGCATGGAATAATAATACAACACAAAATGTACTTAGAACAAAATGTATTGAAACAAGAAAGTGTACACAATATTTACATATAGTCTTTTGTATATTTTTGGGAAGACCGTTCCTGGAGAATGGGTTGACTTAGTCGCAGTCGGGCAGAGTCTCTGGATTGAATCTTTTGATTCCTTCCCCCGTCTTCCCGGTACCAACCATATTTATATGGTCGGTACTCCTTATGCAAATTAGGTGGATCCTACCACAACATATATATAGAAAATATATGTTTATATATATATGTGTATGTATGTGTGTATATGTGTGTGTGTGTGTGTGTGTGTGTGTATTACAATGAGTCATTCATACAAAAATAAATTCTTAAAGTTAGTGAGATAAAATGCCGAATTCACTTCGCTAAATTTAAAATTTTACTAAATTTCAAAACTTCAACCTTAGCTTTGTGACTGCAACGCTCCACATGTTTGTATCTGTTGTTAATAACATTTAAAAAAAAAAACATATTTCGATTTGTATTATACTTTTTCGTCTCGGATACAACCTGAATTTTGCCAAAGAGAAAATAGTTTCCATGCCTAGTGATGACTGAAGGACTCGTCGAAAGTACTTGCATATTTAAGGAAGACCTAATACAGTTTATAATTTTTAAAAACAAGGATCATAACATTCATCGAGTGATTAATGGGTTAAAGCATCTGTAAAATTTAGTTAGCGAAGGGATTTCGCCATTTTATCTCATTTCCTTTACTAATTTACTTTTTGTATGAATGATTTATTGTAATATAAATTAAAGTACATCACAAAATTACTTGTAAATATAACAAAAAAATATAATTGAAAGTATATATATATATATTTATATATTGGTCTTTAATATGATATTGTTAAAATTATTTCTAAAAAATAACAATATATATGTTGTTTGAAAAATATATATATATATATATATATATATATATATATCAAACCAATTGTAATATTTAGATTTGCAAAAAAATTTAAAAAAATTAATAAAAATAAGATTTTGATAAATTATATATTATTTATATATATATATTTTGTCAAAGCCAAATAAATATATTAAAAATATATAAAAAATTGAAAAATAAATATATATATATATATATATATATATATATATATATATATATATATATATACTTTCAAACAATATATATATTGTTTAAAATTTGTTATATTTACAAGGGAAGCGTGCTCAATATCGGAGATAGAGCGTTTATAGATTTAAAAAGTTTTGACATAAGAATCAACAGTCCATGAAGAAGAAGAAAAGTTGCCATGCATTGTTGATCCCTATGTCCACATTGTCTCTCTCTATATATGTTTATATATGTGTGTCTGTGCGTGCTTATATATTTCTATGATGTTACCATGTTACCTCATCTAAGTATAATCCGAAAATGGAACATGAAAATAATAAATAATGCTAAGATAGTGTTATGTATCTGTCATTGCTGCCAATGGTTCGAGTCCAGATAAACTATTCCTTTAGAATGATGATTTTCAATCCGGTAATGCTCAGTCTTCTTGCAATGTTGGCGAATACGATCTTTTTTAGCCCATTCATACAAATCCGGCCTTGTGTGGTATTACGTTTAGCAAATAGATTCGAAATAATAAGTCGATCGATCAGAATCTGAATAAAAAACAAGCGAATGGAAAATAAGAGAAATAAGGTTAATAAAGAAGAGAGACCAAAAAACAGGAGAAAACGAAGGATCATACAAACAAAAAAGATGAAAAAATACGAAGAAACTTGTTGAAGGACAACAAGGAAGAAATGGATTCTTCTTGTGAAATGAAAGAGTTAAATCTGGATTTAAAAAAAATGAAGAATAAATTAAAAACAGGTAAATATAAACAGATGAAAAATGATGCAAGAGGAACAAATAAAGAGAAGCAAAAAAAGAAACAAAGCGAAGAGAGAGAAAAAAGGAGAAAGAGAAAGAAAAAGCGATGAGGAAAAGCAGAAACAAGGCATAAAAGAGTTAATAAAAAAAGATGATAAAAGAAAACAATGGCAGAAAAAGAAATTGTCTGAAAGAAGAAGAAAAACAAGACGGCGAAGAAAAAAAAAAGACGGCGAAGAAAGAAGAAGAAGAAGAAGAAGAAAAAGAAGGAAAGAAGGCGCAGCAGAAGAAGCTACCGAAGAAAAAGATGACATATAATACGTAAAGAAAAGAGAAAACAGAAGAAAATATAATGAAGAAGAAGAAGAAGAAGAAGAAGAAATCGTTAATAGGCGCGTCTTTGTTTCTTTATTTTACAATCCTGGAAGTGAAAGAAGGATAGTCACAAATATAATCTAAACGAACTAAAGATCAGTTGAAAGATCAATGAGAGGCACTTTTATTGTTGATTACTTTTTTTTTAAAAGTAGAAAAAGGTTTAGCTATTATTTTCTTAGTTAATGGGTTGTCTGAACCATACGGCGCCAGAATCTTTCTAGCGGAGCCGCTACTCATTGTTGCATAGAAACGAATTCGTCTTTGGATCAGCATGAGCTGTTGCATTTGCAGTTGTGAAATGATTTCTTCTTACGTTATCGCTAATAGGAACTGTAACCGTATTGAATAGCAGGACAGCTTGTAATGCAGTAGAAATGTGGAGGATTCACGCTATAGTAAAAAAAACAGAACATTTTATCTGAATATATATATATATATATATATATATATATATATATATATATATATATATATAAAAATATAGTTTAAAAATATATATAAATAAATATATATATATATAAACCATTATATATATATATATAAATATATATATATATATATATATATTTTATATATATAATATAAAATATATAATATATATATTTATATATATATATATATATATATAGAATATATATATATATATATATATTTAACATTTTATATATATATACATATAACATTTTTATATATATATATATATATATATATATATATATATATATATATAGAGAGAGAGAGAGAGAGAGAGAGAGAGAGAAAGAGAATGCAGGGGAACAGGTATGCTGGCTTATTTATGGGGTTTAATAATTCATATATAGGTCCAGCTATGTAATACAATGTACATATTCAATAGTATTTTTAAATATTAAATGTGATCATTGTATTTGATTTTGATGGATGCGTTATAAACAGAAATACATAATGAAAACACACACACACACACACACACACACACATATATATATATATATATATATATATATATATATATATATATATATATATATATATAGTATAAGTGGAAAATGGTTAGAACGTTGTCATTCTAATTCTAATCATAATACCCGGGTAAGATTTGTCAGGAAGATGACCTATTTGTAATATCGACATGGGATGACAATCTCGGCGTTCGGCCCCGTTGGGAAGTGACTGAAACCCATACTGTTGTGTCTAGTCTTGTGAGTGACATTGGATAGACAGAACAGTGTGGAAGCCGGCGATCGTCGTGACAGCTCGAAGTCACAAGTCATCGTGACCGAGGCTTTATTCAAATTGGTAATTATGCTATCTCTCAGAAACTGTAACTAAGGTCTGCTTAGTATAGTTTCAATATAAATCACAAGTTGTGGATATTGATGAATGTAAAATCTAAGTGAACAGGCGTCTGCTGCAGGGCTTAGCTAGACATCCTATCAGACAGGTGTATGTATATGTATGTATATGTATAGCTGGCCACTCGTATTCAAGGATACCAGTCTACTAGGGCAGCTAGCTAATCCCTATTGCAGACGTTTGCTCAGGCTCATTTGTTTTATTCAACACCCACAGAGCCCACCTGAGGTTTATACTGCAACTATATGCATTTACATCAGTCGTTTTGCTGTGTATCTTCCGTGTGCGATTCGCTTTCTTTCTTTTTATGTTCCATGTCCTTTCAGAACGTAGGCGATCATGGGTCTCCACACCTCCCTCTATCCCTTGCAGCTCTCAACAAGTTCCTTCCCTCTGTTTCCTCCTCCAGACTACGTTCTGTCATCTACTTGCTTAAGCCCGCCAGATGTGTCACGCGCTGTTTTCCCTTGTCTCTCTTTCCCTCTATTCGACCCGTCTGTATCAGATTCACCACGCCCTCCTTCTTCATTGTGTGTCACAGAAACTTCAGCTGCCTCTTCCTCATATTAATTATAAACCTCCTCCTTGTTTGAAACCTCTTTAAGACCTCATCATTGCTCACACGCTCGGTCCATGATATTCTTAGCATCCTTCTGTAGAACCATATCTCCGTCGCCTCGAGTCTCTTCATCTTTGAGGAAATCATCCATAAACAGGAATACAGCTAAATGTAACGTTGAAAAGTAGATATTTTACAACAACGCATAGAGCTAGAGATTGTAGAGCAACAAAAATGAACTATTAGGTTGTCCCAAAAGTTCATAAACATTTGCAAAAAATTGAAATTTTACTCGCCAAGTAATAACAAAAACAACAAAAATTATTCCTCAAAATAAAGACCATCATTTTCTATGACTTTCTGCCATCAATCTGCAAGCTTTCGGATCTGGTGAAAGTATCATTCAGCCGGCTTCGAATCAAAGAATTCTTGACACGCTTCCTCGACTTCATCAAACGAGTCGAATCGGCGGCCCTTCAGAAAGTGTTGCATTGAGCGGAAAAGGCCGTAATCTGATGGAGCACAGTCAGGACTGTAGGCTGGATGTGGCAGAACCTCAACGCCGTCCAGCTCTTCAAACTTGTCTTTGGTCTTCCTGGCGGTGTGTGGCTTGGCATTGTCCTGCTGCATCAAAGCGCATTTTTGGTTGATCAGAGCCGGGTACTTTTGCTTCAACTTTTCGTAGACCCGCTCCAGTTGCTGACAGTAAAGTTCAGCACTGATGGTACGACCATTCGGAACCAACTCAAAATGCACGATTCCTTCAAAGTTCCACCAAACGCACAACATGACTTTCTTGCGTAATCGATCTTGTTTTGGAACCGACGGTGTCTCTTGCCCTTTCTGAATCCATCGCTTGTCTCGATTTGCTGGCTGGACCAGATAAAAACCCATTTTTCGTCCGATGTTACAATGAACTTTTGGGACAAAAACGCTCGTCCAATGGATTGCTGAGCAGTTGACGGCAAAATTTCAACTCGTCTGTTGGCTTGTCCTTTCAACGGTGAGTTCGTGCGGATCTTGGAGCGGCTTTTTGAGTAAAATTAAAAACAATTAAAAATTGCATAAAAATTCAATTTTTCGCAAGTGTTTACGAACTTTTGGGACAACCTAATATTACTAACCACACCGAAGGCCAGCTTTCCTCCCACTTTGTTGCTGTTACCAGTAAAAAAAATATTCTTGCTTTCATGCTTCGTCCATGATATTTTCAGCGTCCTCCTGTATAATTGCATCTCTGCTGCCTCAAGCTCATTTGGGATCACTTGGGAATCAATTGTACAGTATTCACTGCCCTATAAAGCGAATTGGTAACTCAGATAAAATCAGTAATCTTTTCGTTGTTCATAACGTAACTTTCCTGTTTCTTAATACTATGCTTTGTTTTGGAGAGCATCTTTTACTATTCAGATGTTCCTTTGGATTTCGGCGCCAACATTTTCGTCATCTGTTATGGAGATATTTAAACTTCTGCATTTGCTAAATAAGCCATTTGAAAGTAGCAGTCGACACATAGCACCCGGAATTAGTTAGTAGAAAAGTTACAACTTTTTAAAATGTTTTTATATTAATGTTCACCCTGTACAAAACCCGGGTCACTCGAGGTAGATCGCAACGTTATAAGAGGCAGTTTATACAGATATATAACGGTTAACCTTAGACTTGAAAAGGTTAAGATTATAGTGATCGAGGAAACATCCTCTTGGGAGTCGGTTCCACAAAACAGTGGTTCACGGGTAGAAGCTGACCTAGTGAAATTTACTTATCACCCACGGGATACGGAGGGGATGTGACTGGTTTGCGATAATGTAAGTGTTATGACCGGTCCTAGTCGTAAAGGTTATAACTGGAAGAACCAAGGAATGTATTTCGTCCGAGCACTTTCCATGAAAGTAGCGAGAGGATTGCCACATCCCGCCTGTATGAGAGAGGTGTAACATGCAAGATAGCATGTTTCTTAAGTGACCAAATAAATATCTTCAACGTTTGACATGTAAATATTCTCACTTGTCTCTCAATATCAGCACATGTTGCGCTTTGCATTACCATTTATTTTGTTCTCTATGACAAAGAGTCAAAGATGGATGGTAAAACGTCAAACATTACTTCAAGCAACAAAAGACAGGAAGTTGTGTAGAGTCATGTTCACCAATGTCCTGAAACACCTTGACACGTAAACGAAAACATTCTGGGAGGATGAAATTATGAATTTGTTTGTAAGATGACAGATGATGGTGGAGCAAAATTTTAATAAGTTGTTCAATAAATTTAATATCTTAAATTAAAAAGAAAAATGTTTTCTTTTAACTTTTTACTAAATAAACTGAACGAACTCTTTACGTTATCCAATAAACATACATTTAGTAATGGGGAAAATGGCTAAGTAATGACATTATATATTTAATGGCATCTCTGTTCTAAGAAGCATTTTTCGGATATAAAGTTTATCTTGACCACCTTAAAAGTTATTAGACTTGTAAGATTATAAAGTATTTTAAAATAAATAATGCAACGTTTTAATAGCAATAAATTTGGTGTACTCTTGGCTATTACAGTAGACTACTAAATGGAGTCAATTTTGTGAATTCTCAATAACATTAAGAAAAGCCCTTACTACGACGACTTAGAGAAATATAAACATTATCACGCTAAGGAAACAAGCAACAAGATAATTCGCTTTTTAAACATGATTACATTTCCTACGGCATTTTGAAAGATGTCAACATATACTGAAGGAATAATGGAAAATGTTCAAAGATGTCGGTGTGCGCTGTTCCGATGTTTTTCAAAACGAAGCTATTAGTGAAGAGAATGAATAGTATATAAAAGAAGCTTTCCAATTTCTGTCCGTTCTTTTCTCACTGATAAGCGCCTTCAAAACTGCAAGTCGACGAATCATTTCATAGAATAATTCATCTGCTAATCACTTGGAAGCGATATAAAATAGCTGAATATGCCCAGAGGAATTAGCCAGCAGCGCCAGGGACAATCAGCTTCGTACACTTGAGCCGTCTGCTAACGATGAATACAATTGTTGGATGATAGATTGTAACGCATTACACTTATTCGATCTGCCAGAAGTCTGTAGGCGCCATGACAACGACAATTACATCCGTTCAATGAGATATTTATTTGTCTTAAGTATCAACCAAAATCCATTTCCTATTCCACTAGTTACTTATTGCAATATCAAATTTGGAAGAATAATTGCATATATCGCTCTCCTTTTTCTTTAGTAACAGTTATTTTGACCTTGTCAACGACAGCCAATGAATCATAACAAAAAGGCGATAGATGTCACTGGAAAGTTTAATTTTGTAATTACTTATGAGACGGTGGTGATGATCTTAAGTGTAGGTGATGATGATCATCCAGTAACACGAACATTTGAACAAATTTCTTTATCGCAGATCAGATCGAGTTCGTAAAGTACCAATGCGACTAGACTAATAATTAACCATATGACCAAGGAAGTGATTCACATCGACTCAATTGAGGAAAGTGTGAATGTGGTGAAATGAAGTTTAAGATTCAGAGGACCGTCTAAAATTATATACAGGACTGATTTAAGAAGTCACTATTTTCTTGCATTCAACATCTCTTGCCGGACACAGAATTATTGAATGGCGATTGCGCTGATAAATCAGTTACCTCCCCTTAAGATCTAGGAGGTATAAAAAGCACCCTGTTGTATCCGTTAGTAGACGAGTAGTCAGAGTAAAATGCAATAAAGCATTGGTATAAGTTTATTCACTGGTTCTGTTCTTACTACAGCGATTATTTTCACAAAACCAGCAGCAGACGCAGTTGCTTCAACAGAGCTTGATCACGTCTGTGAAAAATGGCTCGAGTCTTTGCTGCAGCACTTTAAGTCGGTAATTCCAGAACACCTAGATTATAAATATTACAGTTCTTTTTGGCAGTGTCTAGATCCCTAGATCGGATAAGTGCAACGTTCAAATAATGGTTTGTTTTTCCAACAGCCACTGTATGATGGTGTTTGAACTGATACCGTTAATTAAGGCATCCTGAATAGACTCGGTCTAATACTATTCAGCCGTAACAAGGCCCAGTTTGTTTGGTGTAGCATCCGTAGGTAATGAATTCAAGTTGTTAAACATTTGTATCTAATGTTTGAATGTCTTAATAGAACCTGGTAAATTAGGACCTGCACTGAAGTGTTCCATAAACTTATCCATTCTCTTAGAACTAGTGGCTTTACCGCAATAATGATTTTACTGGTTCAAAGTCATTAGTATTTAACTGTACGTAAAGGCACCGTGCGTGCGTTTAATAGCTTAAAACACGTGATGAAAGGACTAATACAACATTAATCACAAAGGGAAGCAACTCAGTCTGGTAACTTCTTAAGTCAGTACCGTACACAATTTTAGGCAGTTTTCTAAATTTTAACCTTCATTTCGTCACATTATGCTTACACCATACGGGTATATCGTTCATGGTCAATACTCAGAATACCCAACATAGAAGAAAATATTTGCTAACAAAAGCATCTTTGTTTGTGGACAAATGAAAAACAAACTTTAATTTCGAAGAAAAACGGGTGGCCTGTAAAATTCTATGAACAGAATTTTATATTCATTTATATTAAGAAAAACTGGATATAATATTGCCTAAATGTACCGAAAATTTATTTGTTTATTTTATTTCTGGGGTGTCTAATGTAAATTAGTTTCTTATCTGCTGTTTAGAGAAAGAGAACCTCATCCTCTAGTTTTTTTTTTTTTTTTTTTTTTTTTTTTTTTTTTTTTTGTATTCTTCAACCAACTAAGAACCGCATTGGATTTAAAAGGAAGTATAAAGTACTAAAGAACTTATTCTGTCTTACTATTTACCGATTACCGGAAGTAAGGAGATGGATTAATATCAATGCTGTGAGTTAAAAGCGAACAAAACAGCTGCGAGCGGAATTTTTAGAAGTTATAGTTTATTTCCCAGTTAATCATTGAATTATTTCTTAATTTTACAAAATTTAATATGAAATTTTAAAATCATTACTTATATGTCATTTTTATTATCAGTGTAATAATACAGCTGAAATTTCAAAATTAGCGCATTATAGCCATTGCAAGTCTGGAAATATTAAGATGATACAATCGTAAGACGATACAATAACAAGTTAACCTTGTCACATTTTCTTTGACTGGATAAACTCTTGTAAGCTTTCAATTTCTTTTGTTATTTCTTCGTTTCTCGTACACATACATTTTGTTCCTGAGTTTTATTTTGTTTTTTTTACCATACTATGACGTCATATTTGTATCCCTGAACTGCACAGAAAAAAAAAAAAAAAAAAAAAACGACCGGAATTAAAGTAAAAAAAAAATGAAGAAAAGAAAAGGGAAAAGTGATAAAAGAGAGAGAAAGAGAGAGAGAAAATAAAGACTGATGGAAAGCGGAAAAGGAAGATTTTAAAAACCTGGAACAAGTAAAGCAGAACGAAAAACGAAAGATAAGCGAGACAAAAGATAAGGAAAAACAAAACAAAACTAAGAGGAATAGAGTAAATTAAGAAAGAAATAAGGAAAAGAGAACAGATTAGGTTAGAAATGCAGGAATAAACGCAGAAGGAAAGAGAAAAAAGGTCGCATGGGAAAAATATAGAATAAAATAAAAAGTAAAGGAAGTAGACATAAAAGTGAGAGATATTGAACTAAAATATAATAAGCACAGTGGGAAGAAAACACAAAAGACCTAATCGAGAAAGAAAGAAAGAACGAAAGAAGCGATATACGTAAAATGGGACCAAGTAGGATCAAAGACAAAATGAAAGATTATACGTGAAAAAGAAAGAAAGAAAGAAAGAAAGAAAGAAGCGATATACGTAAAATGGGACCAAGTAGGATCAAAGACAAAATGAAAGATTATACGTGAAAAAGAAAGAAAGAAAGAAAGAAAGAAAGAAGCGATATACGTAAAATGGGACCAAGTAGGATCAAAGACAAAATGAAAGATTATACGTGAAAAAGAAAGAAAGAAAGAAAGAAGCGATATACGTAAAATGGGACCAAGTAGAATCAAAGACAAAATGAAAGATTATACGTTACACAGAAAGAAAGAAATAAAGAAAGAAAGAATGAAAGAAAGAAAGAAAGAAACGATATACGTAGAATGGGACCAAGTAGGATTAAAGACAGAATAGAAGATTATACGTTAAACAGAAAGAAAGAAAGAAAGAAAGAAAGAAAGAAAGAAAGGAAGAAAGAAAAAGGGCAAGCAATATACGTAAAATGGGATCAAATAAAGAAATAGACAGAAAATGAAGAGGTTAAAATGTGAAAGGTAGCCTGCATCTTGACTGGGTCTAGTTTGTCCAGAAAGTAGCAGAATTTCAAATGTCCATATTCTAAGGACATAGTTCCTCCCCACTTCGGGAATTGGTGAAAAACGATCTTCCCACCACATTTCCTATCACCTAATTTAGCCTTGGTCGATACAAAGCTAAGATTTGTCAGTATTAGAAAGGATGTGTGAAAGGAGAGCAAAATGGTGAAAAGAAAATGTGTAGAAGAAAATCGCCATTTGGTGGAGTGAGAAAAATCGGATTCTGCCGACGGACAAAAATAGTTGCTTCAAGTTTCAGGCTTTGCGACAATCCGTCTCCAAACGGTCGCCAATCAAATGGACTGAATCCATGTATCTTCTCAGAATAGCTACTGAAACGGGAGGCAGAAAAAATCTGTCAAACATCGATGTATTCTTCTGATTATATTGACAATCATTTTACGCAGGAATCCCCAGCAAAAATGCCTATATAAATATATATATATATATATCGCTAAATAATGTTGGCATTCCTGCGTAAAATGATTGTCAATATAATCAGAAGAATACATTATGTACCAATTTATATATATATATATATATATATATATATATATATATATATATATATATAAAAGAAATATGTTGTAGTGGTTCCAACGAGAGAAAAGTATGTATATTAAAAAGAAGAGGGTGCCGCAAACGTTTTTGGTTGTAATGTGGATTTATTGAGAAAAAAATATTATACTTTGTTTTACATAAAATTCGGATTGCCAACACACAACAAACAGAATGTCTCATATCGAGAATATTCCACATTGAACATGAAGAAAAAATTAATTATTTTTAATAATATGTAAAAATCTCCACTTTCACCTGAAGACGGTTGCGAGACCAGACCAGAAACACGTGTCGTGAAATTATGTAAAACAAAGTATATTTTTTCTCAATAAATCCACATTACAACCAAAAACGTTTGCGGCACCCCTCTTCTTTTTAATATATATATATATATATATATATATATATATATATATATATATTTAAAGAATTATATATATATATATATATATATATATTATTAAAAATTAAAAGATCTATTTTTGCTCCGATAATTTTATTATTTCAAACGTTTTTATAGTGGATACCTCGTATTTAAAATAGATGCTTCAATTTTATTTATTACGTCTATCGATCTGAGTATTCGAGAAATAGGATTTCTCGAATGCGCAGGCCGATGGACGTAATACACATTATGTAAAAAATAAAGCATGTATCGTCCATTTAAAGTCCGAAGTGTCCATAATAATAAAGTTTAAATCAATCTATCTACCTACCTACCTATCTCTCTCTCTCTCTCTCTCTCTCTATATATATATATATATATATATATATATATATATATATATATATAATGGTCGTTTATTTGTTTCCGACTACACCCGTCTGCAAAGGTGGCTAGCCAATTCCTGTCGCGGATTCCTGCTCAGGCACGTTTGTGTTTTTCAACACCCACAGAGACTACTTGTATCTTATACTGGAACTATGCTAAGCGGACATTACTTAGCAGTTTTGGGATGTTAGCGTATAATCTGGCGTGAGCAACAGTTTACAGACTCACTTGATGATTATAACATATATATATATATATATATATATATATATATATATATATATATATATATATATATATATATATATATATATATATATATTAGTTTTTATAGGACAATGTGACATATAAGCATATATATACAATCATATTTGTGTCTTATCAGATATTAATACTCAAAAAAACAGGAGGCATTGCATTGTTTAAAATTATATATATATATATATATATATATATATATGTGTGTGTGTGTGTGCGTATCTATATAGCAAATTTTAACCAATACAATGCCTCCTGGTTTTTTAAGTATATATTAGAATATATTACTATTTTCTAAATATATATTACTATATATTACATATTATTATATGTTACATTCTTCTATGACTCTATTTTATTACTATTTTCTCACCTTGAATATGCATCTATGGAGATGTTTATTAATTAAATATTATTTACAGTTCTCCACTGATTATTTTTACTTTCCTCTATTTCATTAATATTACTATTATTAGTATAGTCTTTATTATTACTATTATTATTATTATTATTATTATTACCTTATAGTCACAGATGATACCTCCTAATTAATATGTGCCCATTTTTACAGACATTTCATATTATCGTATATACACGCTTATTAGCACCTGACCAGGTAGAAAACTATTTTCTATTATGCACCTCCAACCTTACTCGTATGTTAGACCTCATTTGACTGGAGTGAGAGACAGACCTGTCTACAGAAAATTTTAGCTCCCGCGACCACTGTCACGCTGGCGCCGGTATTTCATCAACCTTCGTCTTTAGTGCAGTAAATCAGATGATGCCGCAGAGTTGAAATCCTCGGAATCAAGCATCACTTAAAGCTTTTCCGTTAACTGTCCGAAGACAGAAACACGACAGAGAAGTGAAGAATTAATATTACTTTATTTGATCCTAACCTGAAGCGCAAAGGAAAAGAGTTACATATATATATATATATATATATATATATATATATATATATATATATATGAATAAAGAGCTATATCCACAGAAGAGGAAAATAGACTTAAATAGAGAGGACGTCATTTTACCTTTAGGAGACACTTTCGGCCAACACTTTTTCAAAAAGGTTACAAAAAGAGTAATATTCCCTGGATCAAACGTAAGGAACGAATGAAGTGTTCCTTTTGCTTACATAGGCTTAGCTGATGAAATTTAATACGCACAAACTCAAGTACTCGAAGATAGTGAACCGAGCGAGTGTGTAAGACTGAAAATAATTTGTCATTGTAATTGGCGGCACACTCAGGATTGTCCAGTAAACGTTGCCCAATCGAAGAGTCGTGCACACACACACACACATATATATATATATATATATATATATATATATATATATATATATATATATATATATGATTTATTTAAAATATGATTCCATCGCTACATAACAAAAACATGAGAACTCTTATGTAGCGATGGAATCATATTTTAAATAAATCATTATATTAGGCTCTCTACTTTTGTAACGAGCACTGTTTTTTTTTAAATAACAAAAATACTAAAGAACTTTGGATTATTTAGCTAACGAGTTCTTTCCTATTTTCTATATATTTTCACACACACACACACACACACACACACACACATATATATATATATATATATATATATATATATATATATATATGATAGAGAGTTCTCAAACTGTTAGTATGCTACGAATATCTTATTAAAAGAGATTTGTTGTCGCGGGGTTGTAAATATGGGGGGAATGAAACGTTACAAATCTCTAAGCAAAGCATTAATACTGCAAGATGATAAAAAGCTGTGTATTAGCCAAGAAATTATTTTTTAGTTTCTATGACGTTCAGGAAGCACATGTCGTGTTTTTTTGTTTTTCTTGGAACTATAAAACACGGAATATTTTATTCAAGAACAAATCTATTGTTAGCGTAAGGATTTAATCATAAATCTTTTCCTGTTAGCCCTGAATTAATTATTATTAAGGAGTTGTTTGGGTTGTACTGTACAAAAGTGAACCTTGTATGCATCTTCTTTTCTATCCCCTTGGTGATTATGACTCTCCACAATTTCCTGTCCTTTGTAGCTCTTAATAAATTTTGTCTTTTTGTTATCTCTCCTAAACACTGTTCTGCCATCCATTAACGAATGTTCGCTATGTAGGTTATGAATTGTTTCCTCTATCTTCTTGCCTTCAATACGTCATGTGAGTATCAAATTTTCCAAGCCTTCTTTCCTCATTACAAGCCTAGATATTTCTACTATCTCTTTCTAATGTTAAAGTATTTAAAACGCGTAATCTTCAATGTTAAACTTTACAATATTTAAATAAAATTGACAGAAAAGAAAAACATGAATATTTAAAATAACAATATTTATTTAATTCTAAACTATATACCATTGTGAAAGGCGAAGAAAAAGGTTTTCAAAATAATTATATGTGCGTGCCTAGATCATTCTTTTTTTAGAGTAGTACCGTTGTTTGCGCAAATAATCTCCTACTCTCTTCTCTATCTACCATTTATTATATAAAAACATGCTCGCCCTCCATCAGGAAACCGTCATTACATTTGATTTGCCTTGACCTCTCAGCTACGAAAAACCTTCCGCTCAAACAAGAACCAAATAGTTCTTTTGAACATAGACTTTTCCTGATTCTCGAAATATAAATCTCTGCTCAGTTCTGTATCGTAACTTAAAAAAAAAGAGAATTTTTAGGAATGGACGGTTTATTTATTAATCCAACATATTTTAATTTATTGCTTAAAAGTTACTTATAATGGATACCCATATTTGAATAGATGCTATTGTTTTTTTATTTATTTATTAAACTGTATATTTATTTATTTCCATCTAGCTGCCTAAATATTCGTGAAATCGTGTCAGAAAATATGCGCCCTCCGGCATATATATATATATTTCGAGAATCGGAAAAATCTGTGTTCAAAATTACTATTCGGACATAGCTTGACGAGTGGACCATCGTGGCCTAAAGGTCAAAGGACATCAGAATTAATAACGATTTTTCCTGGGAGGCACTGGTTCGAATCATGCCGGATGCTGCAAATTTTTCTAAGATTTCTTGAATGCAGGCGGGTAGATGCAAATAAATAAATATATTGTTTAATAAATCGGTAAAAACAGAACATCTACTCAAATATGGGTATCCATTAAAAATAACGTTTAAGCAATGATTAAATATATATAGGGAGATAGATTGATTTCTATGCAGTATTACGTTTTAACTTGTAGCAAAAGCTTTATTTATTTATTTTTTACTAGAGTTCGCCCACACAAGTCTCGAAAGCCTCTTAAGGTAGAGCGCTACTGAATGTGGTGCGTGATATGAATGAAAAAGAACGTAGAAGGAAATGAAGATTATGAGGATAGACAAAAATTGACCCTTTTCTTGAAGAGGTGGTGTAGAGTTCAGTGAAGCATCCATATGTTAGTATGCTGCACAGAGGAGCAGTTCTCCGAGTTAGACATCCTCTTTATAATTGGTATATGGAGGAAGAAT